ACTATTATATATATATATATATATATATATATATATATATATAATAGTTAATGTAATTAATATTGACTTCTGAAATCTTTAGTGAGTTTTGGACTAATTTACATGTATGCAGAAAACAAGAGGTCCACTGTTTTAATCTGTTGTGTATATCAATATGACAGTTTTGTTTACGCTGCAGCATGTTGTACTCATTATCTTATGTGACATTTGAATTTATTACGGTCCCTCTATGAAGTGAAATCTGGGGGATTATTAGCCAGAGTGACCCTCAAAATTATGTGTAATTTACAATTTTTGTTCAAATATTTGAATGGTACAATTTTATTCTTGATCATTAGCTACTAAGGACCTAATCCTGCATAAATAGAGAAAACAGCTATACAGAATACAAAGCCTGAACCTGCAAGGTGATAATGGACAGATTTTTAAAGATTTTTGGGTACCTAAAGATGTAGATAAATGCCTAATGGGATTTCCCAAAGCATCTAGGTACCTAATTCCCATTTATTTCAATAACAGTTCAGCACAATAGATGAAACGTTGATTTCAGTGGAAGTTAGGCACCCATATGCATCTTTTGGCAACTAAATACCTTTAAAAAGCTGACGCTAAGTGCCCTCAACTTCCAATTTCTTTAGCTCAACTCCTTGCAGGATTGGGCCCTATATTAGTAATGGTATCATGAGATTTCTTTCTTTGCTCTGCTTGTGAAACAAACTCCCACATACCTGAGCTGTTGTTTCCTGCCAACATCGTTGGACTAACAGAGGATCTTCCCAGTCTGCTGGACACAACTGGTGGTCCTGGTGTTCCATCCCATTCCTGAGCTTTTATTGACTCCCTGGAGGAAGTTGTCCCATGGTGACCTCCTCTCTCTTTGTTTTCCAACTTTGGTAGTGGTTCAGTACTGTGGCTCCTGATCTTCAACTCGTCTAATGGTTCTACAAAATATACAAAGTCCACATTCCATTATCTAGTGCAGTTTAATTAAATTCATACCATGGTATTCTCTCCCAGACAGTATTCCATTTTCACTAATCATTCAGTACTGTAAATATACATAAACAACAGAGTAACATAAAGCAGGATTTTAGACTTAACAGACTAGTATAAAAAGTGATCATCCTTAATTATCCCTCTGGTTGAGTGATGACCACCACAATAAGAGAGATGGGTAAAAATGGCAGTTTTTAATTCACTTGTTTTTGTTGAACTACAATATTTTATGAAAATACGTATTGTGCAAAAAATATGCCCCAATCAAAGCTCTTTAAATTATATTTTAAAAATTAACATTTAGGAAATGACCTGAATTCTTTATGACTGTCTCATCCCTGCTAACTGGTCCTTCTAGAACGTTCTCTTTCTATGCAAGTTATTTCCTAAGGTTTATATTGTTCAGTAGATGGGCTTGTGATTCCCAAGAGCATTAATGGGAAGCTACACACAATCTACCGTGCCTGACTAATTTAAGTATTTCTAGTATGCCCAGTAGTATAATCTATGGGCTACATTCTGCTTATTCAACTCACTTGAATAATCCCTCTGACGTCAAATGAGTGGCTGCTCTATTTGCAACCACAAGAGTTGGTGCGGAGTGGAGAAGGCAGACAAATGGGAGAGCAAGTTTCCCTGGTGATGCCAGGGTTTTAGCAGCTTTTTCCATCCCTGGTGACTATCTATTCTGTCCAGAACCCCTTCTTGCTCCTCCCCCATCTCTTCTATGACAGGCCCATCAACAGGGCATCGTATTTCAAAACTAACTCACCTCCAATGGAATTAATAGATCATTTCCATTTCTATTTTCTATGGTCTATGAATGAATTGTATCAAAAACATGCACAGGGGAAGCATTTAAAAGAGATTTAAAATCACAACAGTTAATTACTATTCTGTTCACTTATTCAAAACCTGCTGATCTATTTTTTTCTTATTTGATAAAAATTCCCTCTGGAATTTTATGCTTCAGATTTATGCCCAAAGGTATTCTTATGTCATATTCCTGATTTATAAACATTCGGGATTATAATAGAAATGCTGGCCTTCTGAACTTCAGCATCACTGTGTGGAGCACTATAAGGTAAATACGGGTTTAACTAGCTATATAATTTGGAGGAGAAGAGAGAGAGAGATTTACACGATGCCTACACACAATGGTACACAAAACTGTTTATTGTACCTTGAACAAAGATACCCAGTTAGATTTTGTGTCCCTTAATATTTTAGTTTGTTGATGAACTTGTTTATGAGAAAAATAACATTTTCTTTGTAAAATCCCTCAAGAAAACATTAATGAGAAGACAAATTTATCATTTCTAATGAGCAGGTATGCTGTACCTTATGGAATCATTAAGATATTGTATGAATTATTGTCAGTTTACAAGATTGCTACTGAAAAGAGAAGGGAGTATAAGGATTTTAACAATCAACAGAGGGTCCTATGGCACCTTTAAGACTAACAGAAGATTTTAACAATGTTTCTGACAGACACATTTTTTCATCCCCAAGCTTTAAGATTTTCTTATGTCACAGTAAAAAAAAAGTAATAGAATATCACAAAACAATTCCAGGCTGACGATTCACATAAAGAATATTTAGAGTAATCTCAAAAGCACCATAATCTCAAAATCTAACAACTATTTACTGCCCTTCCTTGAACTTTTAGACTGCCTACTTTAATAGAGAAATATCATAAGGGGGAAGGCCCCTGCTTTGTAACCCAAAAGGCTACATAGGGAGAGCACTGAAGAATAGTTTGCATCCATATTACATGACACAGGCTTTTCAGGGACTTTCAGCATGGAATGTCTGCCACCAAGACTCGTTTATGCATTCTTAGAGAGGCAGGGTAATTCAAGGAGCTATGTGGAGAAATATAATGACACAGGGCTTTATTAATTTAACATTGACACATAATTATAGCAGAAATATATCTCTAAACTGATAACATGTGCTTCCTGTAAATGCCATGTTACTGAGAAAGTGGAAGAGGAGAACAAATATCAGAAATTTGATGGAAATATAAACCAAAGACACTGAATAAGGGTCCAGTCCTGGGAGGAGCTAACCACCTTCTTCAAAATTCTGAGTGCCTATTTTCCAATAAAACCAATAGAAATTGAGAGGGGCACATGTAATCTCATAGATTCAGGTCCTAATAGGAAATGTGCACATTGAAGTTATGGAAAGAACGTATATAACTTTACCAAAACTCCATCATCTTATTACAGCATTCAAAAGAACTAATTCACCATATCTTTCAGTTGCTACTGTAAATGCTTTGATTATTTTAGTGAGAGCCTTTTATATTTGTGACTTCTTATTGCTGATTGAATACAACCACTTGAAATTTCACACACTGACAAAGTCATCCCTTAGTTACAGAAGAAGCACTCCAGTTGCATGTGGAACATAGGGGATCAAAAACACTTCAGTTCACTTTACAGAGAAGCATTTGTACTTATTACTTGATGCAAATGATTCTTCTGAATGTCACCTCTTATTTCTATTATCAGCTGAATCAAATGGCAGCAATTTTCTGCAAACAAACTGAGCTGTGGAAATACTCAAAGGCAATTTAAAACAGATTGATTAAGCAATAAGACCCAACAGGCAATCAATTTTGCATGATGTTATAAGGTAATCTGACAAAAGAGTGAAAAGAGGTGCAATGCAATGCTCTGATCCTACAAACTTTCTACTGTGCATAATACTAATTACCATGAACAACCTTAGTGAAATCACTTGCTTCAGTGGCACCACCTCTGTTCATAAACATTATAGATAGCAGTATTTTCTGAGTCAGGCTCTTCCTGTTAATTTGGAGAGACAGCATAAACTGTCATTCACTTCAGTAGAAGCTATAGTAGTTTACACTAGCTAAAATCTGCCCTGGAATGTCTTAGGGCTGAGCAGCCCTAAAGTTGATCTGCATTAGTTAGTCTTTGTTGGTCAGCACTAAGGAAAAGTGTTTTACATACAGTATTTGGAATACTACAAGTAGAAAAATAGAACCGTATCAGTATAGCTGCTGTGGAATTGGTGGAGCTATGTCAATTTACCCCCGTTGAAGATCTGGTCTCAGTTTATTTCTTAAGATTTTGTAGAAAATCAGTTTTCACTTGTCAGCCTAGATTTCATATATTTCCACTCCCCTATCCTTTCCTGGGGAGCTTCAGCTCGGAGGTTATCTAAAAACTAATAAATCCTAAAAATGAAAAGCAGAGTGGATCAGACTATAATCTCATGCAGCCCATTATAGGGCCCAAAACATTATTATTGGATGATACTTATCAGTAACACTGACGCACTGTCAGAAAAACCATATGCTGATATTTTCCATGGCCTTCTGGAATATTTGATTTTACCTGATTTTGTAATATGTCAAGAACAATAAAGTAATATATGGCAAAATTAATTTTCAGTCACCTCATCTCGAAGATGGTCCTACTTTACTTAAATGACAAGAGGGGATAATTTCAGCTTCAAAATTTTACTAATATATTATTAATATATATATTTACTTCACATTTAAGACCAAAGGCATTCTTATGTCATATTCTGATTTATAAACATACAGGAATATAATGGATATATATATTATTCCCTCAAATCCCATGTTTTTGTAAATTCACCATAATACTTCCTGTTGCATCTGAAGAATAACTTATTTTCGTTGGCCCAATGAAGACTTGAGAGGGGCAGAATGCTCCCCTCCCAGGCCATAGAACATAACTGGAACCATTCTGTGGTCACTATGACAAGCTCTACAGTATCTGGGCTGTCTCATGCCATCTACCATTCTACACTACTCTAAGCTACTCTAAACTACTGCAAATGGAACTCCATGGACCACAGCTCAGTGGCCCTTTCACTAGTTAAAAACTTGCTCATTGTTTTATATAAATGCCTCAGGCACTGATCCTGCAATGTATACTGTGTGAGCAGAAAGCGGCACGCATGTGGAGTCATGGTGCACCCATATTGAGATCACCTTATTATTTTATCTAAGGCGAAACACATGTTTTTATGGGTGTTTGATAATTGTAGTTGGGACAAGCCAAGACTTAAAGAAATAGTTGTGCAATCCTGCACAAAAGCTGTGGAAGGACGTCAGTGCTCAGTGTACCCATATTGATAGTAGGTAACATACTAGAGGGCTCATCACCTATTGTTTAAAAGACACAATAATGCAAATTGGATTTAAGATATACTATGCTCTTATTATCTTATTCAGATGGCTGGAGTTAGCAAGAGCAATAAAAGCTCTGTGTTAATGAGTTATTTGAATCACATATGTCTGAAGCTAAATCTTTTCACAGTCAAACGCTGAATTTTGAAAACTGAACATCATTATGGAAAATGTCTTTATTGGTCTATAATTTTTAACCCAAAATAGCACATAAAATGTAAATTTCAAGAAATCATTTGTTGCTTTAAATATTTATGGAGACCCCTTCAGTAAGAGTCCCATAAAGGAGTTCAAATGCTTGAAGCACTTGTATTTCAATATTAAGAGATGTGCACTTTCCACATTTATTTCACCTAAATCCCAGGCCTTTTCATTTGATGAGAAAGATGGCAGCTAAAATCTCTTAGGCAGTACACACTTTCTAAATAATTGACATATATGGTTTGAACATTATAAAAGATCTCTTAATGGGTGCATGGTTTTGATGTGATTTGTGGTTCTGAAGCTTTAAACAACCTGAGAAACCCAGCTAATCAGCCATAGTTTAGACCAAACTAATTTGACAATCGGAGCTAGGGAAAACGTTTTACCTAAAAAACTATCATTGCAACAAATATACTCTATGTGGCCAGCCTGCCACAAGCTGCTTAAGCACATATTAATTCTAGGTCATGATGGTTTATTATTGTAATGTTAACTGACAAACAGCAGAATCATTTTTAAGGAGGCAAACAAGCAATAGTGTGAAGG